TATCATTTTTTAAGTTCTATCAGGCAACCAATTACGCCATATAAATCAAGGAAGCGTAGAGCTTACTGTAGCACACATAGATTGTGAAAAGTATCCCTATGATCCCTAGTTAATATCTCAAATTAACAAAAAATACTAACCAGCTACGCATGGTAAATCACCCAAAAATCATTTACCTGCCCTGGAGCTCCCGAATGATACTGGGGCGGGTAGATTTGAGGCGGTTGCCGGAAGTTTTGCACAAATTCATCGTGATACAGCATTGTAAACGGTAGTAGGCGTCGTGGTAGTAGCAAATTCAAATGGCCGGTGGGGTGAAGAGCATTTTCTTATATGCCCCCGGTCGTGTGTTGTTTGCCAGTCTAGAGAAAGCGGTCGATAGGTGTCGAGGGGAATATATATGTGATACACAGAAGGAATGACCGGAAAAATCAATTGGAATGGCAAAGAAAAAAGGGCTGTGGAGCGTGTGGATAGACAACGAATTACACCGCAGATGGCCGCGAGGGTGGGAATCGGCTCAGATAGCGCTCTTTCGGCTTTTTCTTGATTTTTTGGAATGATTCAAACGGTTCTAGAGTTCAAAAACGTTGGAGCGATATTCAATCAGAATTTTAAGGAATAGAATGCAGAATTTCACTTCCCTAAACCTCAATTTCTCGCGATTTCGATAAAAATAGCTCGAAAAATCGAATCTCGACATCGCAATTTTTAAGAAAAATGGAAGCTCTGCGCTAGCACTATGAAAATCTAAAAATCCAATTTTTATATTATTACAATATTATGTTTATGGGTTTAGTTGAATTTATTAAATTAAAAAAAATAAAACGCTGCATGCTGTCTTGCATCGAATTAAAACAGGGTTTCCAAATCCCTGTAAAATCCCTAATGACTCAAAAAAATCAATAAATTAGTTCGAGCGCTAATAATTTCTGAGAAAATAAACGAACTATCTGAAGTTTTGCGTTGTAGCTCTGCGTTAGTTAAAACTTACAAAAACTACCAGTTTTTCCAATTCCGGCGCTAAATTTTGGTTAAAACCAGAAAAAGCACGGAAGTCGGCGAAAAAATTCCCGTACCTTGACGGGCCGCTACCGTAACCCCAAGCCACTTTCAAAAATAAAAAATACCCTAAAATAAAAAAGCACCTCGAAAGATTCTGAAGGGGCTCCAGAAAAGGGCAAGGGCCTGCCTTCGCGCTACACACTCGCCGTGGCTGACTGAGGCCAAAATGACAATGGCTGTGTGTGTCACCTGATGGTGGTCGGAATGCGACAGTGGTTAGAGGCGCTCGCCCAGCCACCGCTCGCTGGCCCCTGTTCAACCCCAAATGTGAACCATCGGGACCAGGTTCGCCCCGGGTTTTTTGGGAAGACAAAAAGCGTCGAAAAGTATCGATTTTGGCGGTAGTGATTTTTGATGAAACTCGTTAGGCACCGTCATAGGCTTAGGCTTGGGCTTCGCTAGTGCTTCAGGCTTATGCTTAGGCTTACGTCTAGGCTTAGGCTTATGTTTAGGTCCAGGCTTAGGCTTGAGCCTAGAGCCAGGTTACGTTTAGGCTTGGGCTCCAACAGGCTCATGCTTAGCGGGCTTAGGCTTTGGCTTAGAGTTCCGCTATAAATTTAAGGTCCAAAAGCCCCGGTCAACCAGTAGCTGTGCAAAAAATCCCTATACTTCAAGCTTGCCGCGGCTATATTCGGTTCGCAAAATACGAAAATTATCGCCCGGACGTGTAAATAGGAGCCGCACGTCTCTCCGGTCTTTGGGTAGTGATCTGGGATCTACGGTCGGGGCAAGAATTTACGGATCTTCTCGCTCTTCAGCCAGTTTGGTTTCCGGGAAGCTTGAACTTAAGCTAGCTTCAGGAGCTTGATAAGCTCAGAAAGCATCCGGGTTAAGCCGGACAAGCCAGAAATTAGCCCAAATCCCAGAACAAACGATGACACCAGAAAAATGAACCGAGAAACGATGCTTTCATTCAAGCATTCCTAGCAGCCTCACCTTCTTTAGCTTAAGCCTCCCTAAGAAGCGCTTCAGAAGCTTCATGGGTTTAATCCCCCCAGGTCAAAGATTATCCCAAACCCCAGCCCAATCGATCAATCCGGGAAATTGGAGCCCGCAAAACCTGGAGGGCGAGCCGTGTGTTTCCCATGATGATGAGTAAGTGCGAATGTGCCCCCCCTCCACCCGACACCGAAAAAGCCTTCTAAAAAATGTGCGGGAAACCGTGTCGGCGGCGCAGGGCCAGCCAGACGGCGGGGCCAGCCGCGCCCCCGAAAAACAGAAAAGGGATGGGGCTACGGTCTGAGGCGGAAAAGATGCCGTGAAAAGGTCAGCCTTGCACCTCCAGGGTTCAGCGCATCTCGAAAATATTCGAACGTGGCTGGTGGGATCGGCCAGTAAATATTTAGCATGGCCCATCCAATAAGCGAGGCGCACATGTGGCAAAGGGCCTGGAAATTAAAGGTTGTCCGGATGGGTTTTTCCGGGTTCACTTCGGCTCAGGGTAGGCTCAGGCTTAGGCTTGGCTTAACTTCAGCTTAGGGTTAAGCTTAGGCTTAGGCAAGCTTAGACTCATACGACTTAAGTTACAGCTTCCACAATTTCACAAAATTAGTCCCGGCTTTGAAAGGCTCAGGTTAAATGAGATTTTCCACCAGGTGTTCTGCTCGCTTGCCAACACTGAACAATTTCGAATTTTTGATGAAACCCGTCCTTTAAGAAACGGCCTAATAAAATAAAACAAAAACTAAACCATTTGAATTACAACCCACGACCCATAATATTTCGAAAACCATCCCGGCCGTCTGTGGGCATTGTACCAGGCTCGATCTGATAAGCCCTACAGTACTGTCCGAAAAACTGAACATGACGAAAGAAAAAACCGTTCTGCATGTGGTTTTCCTATTCTCGATCAAATTTCTTATGTTTTTTTTACGAAATCGCCCCAAATTCAGAGGAGCCAGGTGTTCCCTTGAGAATCCCTAACGAAGCGTCAGCCCCCAAAAACTCGTTTTTCAATCGAGATTTCCAATTCCGAGATGAAAACGGGGTTGAATAATTTAATCCACCGACTTGAGCAGGTTTTTGTAGCCGTCAAACCGATTAGGGGGTTTTCTGGACGTACCAGAAATCCTTGCCGAATATATCTCATCGCTGGGCTCATGGAATTAGGGGGGATTTGTAAAAAGCTTGCGCCGGTGCGGGGATAATCCTCATATATGGGGATTCCCTAATGAAAAACTGGGGAACGGCTCAGCCCTTTTTGGAACGCTAAGGCGAGTGTTTGGCAAAAAATTTCGAAAAAATTTGTTTTCCGCCTGGCGAGGGCAAAGATTTCCAAAATCCCAAGTTAATCTGGAAAGGCCGAAAGCCAGAATTGGTGCAGGAAGAAGTTCAGCAGTTCTTAAGAAAAAAGGGTAGAGTCGCAAAGAGAGTTTTGTCAATCGTGAAAATTGTTTAACCTGGTCTAATTATCATTTACAAAATTTTTGAGAAGCTTAGCCATTTCCGGTTAAGGCTTACTTTAGGCTTAGGCTTGAACTTAGGCTTAACTCAGCTTACGCTTTGGTTTGGGCCTTGGCTTCGGCTTCCCGATCGATACCGTATTGCTCATGAGAATCCGGGTACATTTGAGTAAGAACGAGCGCAGCAGAGGACAACAGAAAAGCGCGTCCGCCTGTCTGCCCGTCTGCAATTCGCTCGACTACTCGGACCGTCGTCCTGGTGCTCCACTCTGCCTCCCCTCCTCCTCCAGGCTCGCCCCTAGAGGCGGCGATGGCACACGCCCGGAAAACAAACGCGGCGCACCGCCGGGGCGGAATTTTTGGGACGGCGGAGCACGGCTAGGGACACCACCCGAAACCATTCACTCACTCTCTCTAGCCACGCTAGGTTCTTTCGCCTCTCGCTAGTCCGATTAAAGAATTGGAGGATCGGGACCAGGAAATTGATGTTAGCGGGTTGATGTCATACTAGCTCGCTCATCTCTCTTTCTCTCGCTCGCTAGGTAGCTCTCTATCTATCTCTCACTCTCGCGCTCACGCTCTAGCTATCTCTCTTACTCTCCCTCACTCGCTCTCTCTTTCTCTGTCTCCTGCAGTCAACAGTCTGAAATGGAAATTCAGAATAGCCAAAAAAGATAAATATTCGTGTCGGATCCACAAAACAGACTGTTTACCGGAAAATACCGAAAAATAACACGGTTTTTCACTTGTTTTCGCATCGACTCGAATAAATCAGAAGGCGTGTTTTTTGGCGTGGTAGACAGCGTATTATGAGCCTTGTCTTGCATATTTTTCCTGGTTGAGGAAGATTGTTGCATTTGGCAATAGGGACCCGGCATAAAAAATGGATCCAAAATGCGAAAAAAATAAAAAAGGAGCTAACTCCGTTTTTTACGAAGAAGTTCAAAGTTGAAATGAAGCAAGATTCGCTCCAGGGGGCTAGCCAGGCAGGTACGGCCCGGCACTTGAGCTACAAAATTTCACGGTGACCAAGAGGGTTTCAGGGCTATTCTGGTCTAAATCTCCTTTATTTTTTAATCTGATATTTTGAATTACTAGGTCCCTTGGCATAACACGAACAAATATAACACGAAATCAAGTACGGGATCTCTTGCGGGAATCTGTAGTACTTTTCGATACCTTAGACAACCTAGAACCACCTGAAACCAGCTTCGCTTAGCTTTTATAGGGTTTTTTCGCTCTTTGGACGTTTTTATAGTTTGCATTTGCCTTTTTAGATGTGCGGCTTTATCTTTAATTATTATCCGTTTGAAATAGCATTAATTTCAACCTATTCAATGTCCAGCTCCGTTCCCATCAACCCCTCTTTCTCCCACGGCCAGGGAGGGGTTCTCATCAACCCCCTCTTTCTCCCACTTTTTCTCGTAAAAACACTAATCGTGAATTGATGAATGGCATTATAAAAGTCAAATCACAATTCTTTGCGACCAGAAAACCTGTCTTCCAAACCCCGCAAAAACCACAAGCACTAACCTCATCCTCATCATCAGCAGCGTCATCAATGGGCAGAGCTGGTTGCTTGTTTTGGGTGGCGGGGGTAGCCGGGGGTTCCTGGGATCACGGTAATTAGAACGCGACCAGGTACTGTACCTCCTTGATGGACTCTCCGAGGAATTCCGGGTCTTTCTTGAGGTTTCGCCGGATGTGCCGGGTTGGTTCTTCTAGGGAGTGTCGGGGGCGTTTGGGATCTGGCTGGTCGTCGGTATCATCTATCCGGGCCATCCCTATAGTGGGGTGGGGCCAGATCCTAGAAAAATACGGTAAGTCTAATAATGAAGTGAAAATAGAGAGGGCGGGAGAGTCGGAAAAAGAAAGAGGGCTTTAAGATAGCGAGAAAAAAGATAGAGAGAGGCGGTGCGAGAAGGGCCGAGAGAGAGTGAGCGTAGGTAAAGAACTACAGAGAAAAAAAGTGTATTGAGAGAGAGAGAGAGCGGAGACAGAGAAAGATAGGGAAAGAGCTCAAAAAACAAGCAAAGAATTGCAAATTAGCACCGTAGCAAGGGGAAACCAGTTACCGTCTTCCGGCGTGGCGTTACGATACTTTCAATTTTTGTCAGCTCTTAAAAGCCAACAAATATCCGTATCTTTTATTGCGGATCGATAGAAAAGAGATCGATCGTTAGAAAAGTTTCATATTTAAAAATCAGATCATTAATGCAAAGACTCACAGAAAAAAACGGAGGTTATCCCCCCGGCGATCAATCAGCCCAAACGTTCTCAAAAGCGAAGCCGTCGCCCGGTTTCGTTCCCGAAAAGCAGAGTAGTTGCCCCTTTTACCTGTAGGCAGATTACCCGACCCATTCCAGCGCGCTCTAGCTAGCCAGTTCTTCGAGCGGCTCTCCGGGTAGAGGCGATTCCATACAGTTCTCTTATCTACTACTACTAGAGGAAGTAGGGCGCATCGCAACAAAGTCGGGCGAATGTCAAAATCGTCAGAGAGCGGAAAGGGGCGGGGTGGATTCAAGGGATTTGGAAGTCCAGCTCGTGCCAATTTTGCTAATGGAAAAGAGCACAATTTGCTACGATCAAAAATTGCAGAAAATTGGAGGTAAGGATTGATGGAACGATTGATGATGCGGAGCTTAAAAGGTGAAATTTGCAAATTTGCAGCTTCCGGCTCAAAAATTTTTGATTTTTGATTTTGCAGCGCGGAAAAATATTTTTTAAGGCTCTGAAGTACATAATTTTGTTAAATTTGTCGAAAATTTTTGGGCAGGGATTACAGTAACAACATGAGAAAACGCGTTGAAAAACACGAGGTCGAAATTCGAAGGCTGATTAAAGGGACAGGCAAGGCATTCGCATAAAAGTCGTATACACCAAACTTCAGCATATTAAAATATCATACCTTGCATGTCCCTTTAAATCGAAACACCTGCAAAACCCGAACATTCCCACCCGAACCACACCACCCCTTTCCCAAAAAGATCGATTCGGACCACACGTTCGCACTCCCCCACCACCAAATCTGCGCGTTGCTCGCTCATTTTTAGAAGAGGCTCAAAGAGACGGGGAGAAGGGCTCGGCTCCAAAAAAAAGTTGTCTAAAGGACAGCGGAAGAGAGGGGAGGAACACGGCTAGCAAAGAGCTGGGAAAGGAGGAGGACTGCAAAAACGACCAGACAAAGAGCGGCCGAGGGGTGCAGCCAGCCCCGGTCTTCTTCCGCCGTCTAGGTCGCGGTGCGCAAAAAAATGGTGGCGGCGGTGCGATGGTGTCTGATGGTTTCGGAACACTTCGAGGCATTGGAGATGTGGATTTTTGAGGGCGGATAGTACGAAGGACAGGAAAGTTGATGCTACCGTTCTACGCTATCTATCGCTGTTCCGTACACGCAAAAATAATATAAAACTATTTTTAAACTTCGATGATTACCACGGTGTTGTTGGCCGAGTATTAAGAGCAAATATCGTGGATTCCTTACTTTAATTTACCTTTAACAGCCCGGTTTTACTATTCCTACTTTTTTGGGGCTCTTAACGGGCTGCCGACGGCATGTGTCGATCCCCCCCACATAAACAAATTGACAAGTAGCCAACAGGGCAGAGAACGCGCCCTGGGGAGAGGCGCAGAGACTTTTCTTTCCAGCGCGTAACCGATTGACTATGCCGTCGGCATCCCTTTAATCTCTATTTGGACGTATTCCAAGATCTGAAACTGTGGATTTCTGCCTTCTCAATCTCTTTAAAAATCCAAATCCGCTAAAAACCTATTTTCGCGCATAATAAAATCCAGAAGCACTGCTTCATGTCCCATCTTCTGCTGTCAAACATTAAAAATTCAGGCTAAATTTTGCAAAGATATGCTAGCTACAAAAAACGCGATCGTCAAAAATCCAGGAAACCGACCCTCAGAGAAAAATTAGGATGCAGAGAATACGTTCAAGAATGTGAAAAGCCGTGCAAATAGAGAGCTATGAAAATAACCATGAAATGAAGGCACACATATGAACTTTATAAAAACTATCCGAATTGGGCTTTTTTGAAAATTCAAACGAGTCAAAGGGGCCGAACGAGGCCATGGTTCAACGTTGCGGTCAATTGCCTCACAGCGCAAAAGGGGGACGGGGAGGCCGGAACGAGGATCCTTTCGGGGTGAGAGGCCCGGAAAAGTAAGGAATCCTAGAGAAAAAGAGGGGAAAACGAAGAGGGGGCCGCTGCTGGCCCACAAAAAAATCCACTCGCCGTGCTCTTTTCTGACCGTTCCGAGGCCAGGGCGGCGGACTGGAAAATCCAGGAGTCGAGTAAATAAGGGAGGGACAGCAAAACCAAATCTTACAGTAATAAAGACCGTCATTTTACGGTAGAGGAATTTTACGTTAAAAACCGTATCTAGTATTCTTTATTCCCTAGTCGAAAAAAACGTCACTAAGCGATTCTAGTTTGTTTGTTGTGCCAGTTGCCTCTACCGGTTTTGCTAGCTAAAAGGAGATTAGCTCGGGCAAACATCACCCGTATGGGAAAGACTGGCAGAGATTCCCCCCCGGCTAATCCGTTAAGCTCGCGCGTTGTAGTTCAAAAAGATTTTCAAAAAGGCCGAATCTGACGATGTTTAGCTAGTGGGAGGTATGAATCGGCTGCGGTATACCTCTGGCACTGGGCCGAGCAGCCGCTCGCCGGTCAGAAAAAGAGGTAATAGCCTACCTCTAGCGAAAAAGGGACCGGATGCAATATATACAGATTTGTAGGTGTTTATGGAAGGGGAAATGACAGTTGAACCTTTAGAAAGGGAGAATTCAGGACGAAAAAGATGACAACCAGAGCAGTTTTCTACATGGCGGGCGCGAGTCAGAACCCGAGCGAGAGAGAGAGCCAGCGCGAGTGAGAGAGAGAGAGAGAGAAAGCCAGCCCGATTACGAAGTTCCTTAATCATCATCCCCTTGAAAGACAATCAAAAGAACTGATGAATCTGCGGAAAAAAGTGCCTTACGATAGGAATAAGTACGATCCCCACCGGCTACCATTTGCTCTAGCAAGCCAACCAGCCACCGCCATGGACCGACCATAAAAAGCGGATCGAAAAACCGAACCAGCGCGCGCAGGGAACCGATCGCCCGCGCTACGGTTTCCTCCATCTTTTCTATACTGGCGGCCTGGGGGTCGATTCCAGTGCAAGAATGGGCAAGAAGAACTGGCTATCCGCCGGATAGCACTGAGATTGTCGGCGTTCCCACGAGCACGCCCTTTTTCCCAGATCCCAACCGTCGGGCGGAAATTTGTGGGTTAGTGCGGGGGTCCCCTTATTTTCAGGGTTGACCTCTGGCCGCCCTAAGCCACCGGGAACTGGGTTAACATCGTGAGCACGAGCCTGGGCTCGTGCTTCGGGCGGGCGCTCGAGCCTGGGATTGGGTTGGATTGAGAGAAATGTTGGAAGCACATGTACGGAAATTGTGCTTTGTTCCGGGCTTTGAAACGCACTTAAGAAATCGGTAAGATAACGAGCGTCATTTCGAAGGTCGTAGCCGTACTATAGAAATAGAATCTGCATTATTTCTAAAGCATAAAGTGACAAAAAGGTTAAAATCTACACCGTGAGTGGCTAGGTCTTGACAATTCCGAGCTGCATCAAAATTCACTAAAATATGCTGATCTCCCTACGCTTTTGAATTGAATAAGAGACGTATAGCGGAACTGTCAAAAGTCAAGGCGTCAAAGCTCCAAAAAAAAATCAATTTTGAGTTTCCTGACCCCCTTAATCGACCAAAATTCCTTAAATTTGGGTTTAAGGTGGGGGGGGGGGGCACTAAGCAGTTTTCGAGCGGTACAACGGCTTTCGAACAAATAAAAATCCATCAAGAAGTTGCTATATAAAAAGACACAAAAATAAGAAGAGTGCAGTAGGATATTCAATTCTAGTTTCTTAAAAAATGTAGCTCTCGCACGCCTTTTAAAATCGAAAGAATCCCGAGCGCAAGACCTACCGGAGAAGTCCGGAGACCCCTTCCCCATTTCCCGGGGAGTGACCGCCACAAAAAGTGGCCCGGCTGGGGCAAAAAACGGCGGTGGCGGCTGCCCGACGCAAAAAAAACCGAAGGCAAAAAAGCCGGTGGAAACGGGAAGAGAATTCGGTGGGGGGGGGGGGTGGACACTTATCTCGTGTGGGCCTGGTGTGGACCGAGCCCGGGTTGCTCATAAAAACCAGCACCAGGCGCATTTTGAGGTCAACTTTGGCGGATTGGGGGGCTTTAAAGGGACTGGGAAGCCGGGAGTATGGTGAAAAGGATTACGGTATTCGGTTACAGATTAAGCTAATTTTGCAGAAGAAAAGAAAAAAAATGTCAAGAAGTTAAGTCAACGTGGGCTAGACGTTGAAGCAAAATCTACCGTTTCCGAAGGAAAATAGATAACTTTTGTTGCCTTCTTTATACCTTTAAAATGCTCTCACTCTAAATTTAAATCATGGCCCCCGAGACTACAAGTCCCGAACCAAATTTCACGATTTTTGCTACCCTAGCTTCAGATCTGACCTGAAAAATGGCTGCCATTAACGCATAAAGCCGGTAATAATCAACACCCATTTACGGGCTCGTCATTTGGAATTCCAAATGCGGGGGGGCTTGAAACGTTCGGTTTGACCTCTATGGTCCCTATAGGTCCTCATTCCACGCCCTCTTTTTCTACGCTACATGTAGCCGGTCTCTACTCCGTTCCTTTCTCGCTCTCTCACTCTCTCTCTCTCTCTCTCTCTCTATCGCTCTCTCTCATTTTTTCACTGTTTTTCCATTT